CCCACCCCACGCCAGGGTCTCCATCCCCCCGTGTGTTCTGGGGCCCCCACCGCCGCCTGTCCCTAACTCGGGCTGTGCAAACTCCGCGGAAAAGGAACCGAAACCTCCCTCGCAGCTCCTGCCCGCTCCCCGCCCCACGCCAGCGGCTGTTTTGGGCTGAAACCAGCCGATTTATGCCAAATGGCACCGTGGCTGCCCCGTTCCCCGGGCTGACGCTGCCCTTGGTGCCCCGCAGAGCCGCCGAGTGGCAGCTGGAGCAGCCGGCCTGGAGCGGCCGCCTGCGAGTCACGGCCAGGGGCAGCACGGCCTTCATCAAACTGGAGGACAAGAGCTCGGGTGAGGAGAGAAAAACCCGGGGCTCGGCGGGGAGCAGCGCTGCGGGGCCCAGCGCAGAGTTCGCCAGCGCGGAGTTTTACCCCTCGCTGTTTTCCAGGAGAGCTCTTTGCCCAGGCTCCCGTGGAGCAGTTCCCCGGCATCGCTGTGGAGGGTGTCACGGACTCCAGCAGATATTTTGTCATCCGCGTTGAGGATGGCAACGGTGGGTCCCTCACAGCCCCCTGAGAGCTCTCGCTGCTCCTGATTTCCGTGCTGGAATATTCCCTGCACGGGGAGGAGCTGCCTCCCTCCCACGGCTCTGAACAAAAACACTTGGGTTCGGCTGCTCAGCGTTGCGGGAGCATCCCCCTGCTGCCAGTTAATTAAAAAGCTGTTTGTGCTGAAGCTGGAGGTGCCTTTAGAGAAGGGAAGGCTCTGGGGTGACTTAATTGTGGCCTTCTTGTCCCTAAAGGGGCTCCAGGAGAGCTGGAGAGGGACTGGGGACAAGGGATGGAGGGACAGGACACAGGGAATGGCTCCCAGTGCCAGAGGGCAGGGATGGATGGGATTTTGGGCAGGAATTCCTCCCGGGGAGGGTGGGGAGGGGCTGGCACAGGAGCCCAGAGAAGCTGTGGCTGCCCCTGGATCCCTGGAAGTGCCCAGGGTTGGACAGGGCTTGGAGCAGCCTGGGGCAGTGGAAGGTGTTACCCTGGCAGGGGTAGGATGGGATGGGATGGGATTTACAGTCCTTCCAACCCAGACCGTGCTGGGATTCTGTGATCCCCGGTCCCGTGGCTCAGTCTCCAGTGTCCCAGCTCCCTCTGGAGGCAGCGCCAGGCACGGGGATGTGCAGGATGGAGCATCCTCCCTTCCCTCCTCCTCCTCCTCCTCTGCTGAGCATCCCAGCCCTGACTCCTCCTCCCTGCCCAGGCCGCCGGGCCTTCATCGGGGTCGGCTTTGTGGACAGAGGAGATGCCTTTGACTTCAACGTGGCTCTCCAGGACCACTTCAAGTGAGTTTGTGCCTCTCCCTGTGTCCTCTCAGCTCTGGCTTTTGGCAGTTCTCCTCCAGGAGTGGGGGAGAAGTGGGAGCTGGGGCAGGCAGGTGTGGTGGGAAGAGGAGGAAACTCGCAGCTCGTCCTCTCTCCAGTGATCAGTGATCAGCAGTGTCCCAAACTGGGCTTCCCAAGCCCAAATTCCCAGTCCAGATTCCCTAATTTATGTCCTCTGCTTCCTCTATCAGCTGTGAGTGGCTGCCCTGAGGGGCTGCTGGGAATGGTGGGGTTTGGGGATTTTGGGGTTTGGGGATTTTGGGGTTTTGGGGTTTTGGGGAAGGATGGACGTGGTGCCACCTGTGGGATCTGTGGGGCTCCAGCTGCCACTTCTGGGAATCATCCCCTGGCTGCTCCCTCAGGTGAGGTCTCGGCTCACAGCTCAGAGGGGATGATCCTGAGCAGGATTTATCTGTCTGGGGGAGCGTGGGCAGGCTGTGAGCTCTCCTTTTCCATGGATTTCATTCCCACAGGTGGGTGAGGCAGCAGAGCGAGCTGGCCCGGCAGGCCCAGGACCTGGAGCAGGGACCCAAACTGGATCTGGGCTTTAAGGAGGGGCAAACCATCAAACTCAACATCGCTGTGAGGGCCTTTCCCAGCTGATTGCAGCTTTTCCTTCGAGTGGCACCAGGAAGCAGCAGCTCCTCCCCGAAATCCCCGGGCATGGGCTCGGGGCAGAGCCCATCGGGATAACTCTGCCTGCAGGGCAGCCAAAACCAGGCTTGTGGGATCTGGGGGTAAAATCCACCCCTGCTGTGACCCCTTTGGATACACCAGCAGTGAGGGGTTGCAGCAGTGCAGGATTTTATTCCCAAATCAATTTTCCTTCCAGGGTTTTCATGCTCTGGGTTTAAATGGGATCCCACCCAAACCTCCTGCTCTCCTTTCAGAACATGAAGAAAAAAGAAGGAGGGACAGGGAGCACCAGGCCACGTCCTGCAGGGCCTGGGGGCCTGAGCTTGCTCCCACCACCCCCCGGAGGAAAATCTGGCTCTGGGGAGCGGCCAGCTCCGTTCTCCACACCCAGCCAGCTCCCAGGAACCCCCATCACAGGTCTGCCCTCCCACAGAGCTCCTGAGGGGCTGCTGCATCCATCAGAGCGGGCAGAGACGGGGCAAAATGGGAATGAGAGTGGGAAATCACTGCTGGTGTTCTGTTTTGTCTCCTCCCGACTTTGTGACAGACTCCCTGTTGTCCTGGCCTCAGCCCGCTGCTCCTCCTGCTGCTGATGTCTGGGGAGACTTTGCCAAAGCTTCGGGGTGAGCAGGAGGGGGATTTGGGGGGATGTGGATGCCCCAAAACCGCTTGGTTTTGCTGGCAAACCCTGCTGGGGAGGGGGCACTGCTCCATCCAGTCCCAGCTTTGGGGTTTGGGAACGGCTCTGCCCCTGTGCTGCCAATTCCCTCAGTTTGGTCCACGGGCATTTCTTGCTCTGTTGCTCCAGGAGAGTTTTGGGCTGGTCCTGGGTGACCCATTTGCAGCCCAGTTTCCTCCCTGGATGCCTTTAGCATCTCCAAACACCGTTTTATCCCTGTTCTTCCCTCTCTCCAGGTCGGCTTCCAGCCAGGCTCAGGGGAGCACAGGCTGGGTTCAGTTCTGATCCTGACCTTGATCTGCTTTTCCCCCACGGGGGTGCTGGGATCCTTGGGATTCCTTCAGGACCAAAGAAGCAACCTCAGGACTCCTGCCCAGCTCCAAAATGCTGGGATCGGTGCTGGAAGGAAACAGCCACACGCCTTAAAACGCTGCACATGCAGGGCCTGGATCCTGGGAGAGCTGGAGCCTCCTCCTCCTCCTCCTCCTCTGGGGAAATCCCTCAGGTCCTTCCCTCTCCTGGATAAGGGGGGACAGCTCCGAGTCCCCTCAGAGGCTCCTCTGCCTTCTGCTCGTGCTTTTGGGCTGGATAAATCCTTCCCTGGGCGAGGAGCATCCTCCTGGAGCCGTCCCACCTCCCGGATCCACACCAACCTTTCCCTGCCAGGACGCCAAGCACCGCCTGGATTTATTTCTGAGCACTTAACCGGGATGTGGGGAGCCTGATCCTGGCCTTTCCATCCTGAAATTCCTCATTTCTTACTCTGGGAAGTTGGTTTTACTCCTCCTCTATTTTGAAGACACGATTTTTTACTCCTTTCCATGGACATTTTATTAAGGACAGAACAGAGTCGGGCTCTTGGACACCTCTGGGGTTGAGATTCCTCTTGAAACAAATAAATATTTTCTTACCTATTTATACTGAGGCTTTTCTGAGTACGAAATCCCACTTATTTTTATCCAACCCTTTGGATTTTCCTTCCCATTTCCAACTGGATGACGGGCATTTTGCTTTCAGAGCTTTCCCCTGGGGCTGGCAGCGAACCCAGGTGAGAATGTAACGCTTCCAAGTGAACAATAAAAATGCTTTTGATGCCAGACTGGAATTTTGGTTTTTTTTCTCCCCTGGGTGAGCTCGGAGCGTCCAGGATGGGCTTTTGAGATTCCCATTCCTTGGCGGTGCCGAGGGAGTGGGATTGGACACGGAGCACAACAGAAGCTGTTGCTTAGCAGTGGTTTCTGTTGGGAAGGACGCCGGGAGGGGAAGGTTGGAGAAGAAATGAGGGGAAAAGGAGGAGTTTTGGGACGCTGGGGGGTGGAATCGGAGTCAGTCCCTGCCTGGCTGGAGGCATCCAAGGCACGGTAAATCCTCAATCGCCGCTGCTGGCCCGGGTAATCCCGGCTCTCCGGGGGAGAAAGGGCACTTTCCCCGCCGGGGGGGCGAGCGGAGCGCGGCCGGGCGAGCCCCGCCCTGCCCGGAGCGCGGCTCGGGACCGGATCCATCCCTTCTTTCGGGAGCAGCGACGCCTCCAGCCCCCGTTCTCGGCGATCTGGGGCCCGGCTCGGGGATTTAGTCCCACCTTTCCCTACCGGGGTGGGGGCAGAAAGCCTCCAATTAGCCGGGGGCTAATTAAAGCTCCGGCGGGGGGGATGAGCCGGGGTCCCGGGGCCGTCCCCGCATCCCGGGGATGTTAAAGCCGCTTCACCCCTCGGCAACCCCGGCTCGCTCCACCCTGGAGCTTTTCCTGCCGGAGCGAGCTCCGGGCGCTAAGGAGCTTAAGGACGGCGGGGTTTAAGG